GATCTGGTCTGCCATCCGTGTCCCCCAAGCAAATAGGTGTGGTCATGTATATGGCGTTATTGCACATAGCGCCGTTGATCTACGTTAAATGTTAGGGCGTTCGATATCGCTTAAAGATCACAAGAAAGGGTTTCGTATTCTTCCGGACCTCTGATCCTTCGCCGTGTCTTGAGATCGTCCGCGAAAACATCTGAAGCCCTTAATCTCACTAAATCGTTACTGAACACCAAGAAGAGAAGAGTCCAAAGTACCTTGCTTGTGGCCCATCCCAACCCATATCAATTGCATTAGATAGAGATTCCCGGACCATAACCTCCAACCGAGGTTCCTTTGCACTAGGCAACTTACTCCAAAGCGGCTGATTGTCAGTAAACCACATCGGTGCGGAGCTCCATACCTACACCGTATTCATACATGCTACTTGCGCAAGAGATCTTGAAAGTCATGACCTTATTGACCAGGGGGAGGTGATAAGAAGCATCCCTGATTTGCACCAGAGGTAACGTTTAATTTATCTGATGTCTGTCCAGTCAGCTACACCCTTATTCGCAAAGCAGTATACAGTCATTTGGTTAGAAAATAAACTTAGCACGGCATCCAAACTTTGAGAGGATCAGCCAAAATGCCTCCCGGTTCACTGTATTGAATTATTTATAAATTCATTGTGGTGCGAATGCAACGACTTTTCGCTTTCAGCACATGGCACCGGTAGTTGAAACTCTGCGAACACCATTCAAACGTTATTCGGTCCTAGCGACAGCCATATTGATATTCAGACACGCTTGCCACAAGAATATGTCACAAGGCGATTGAGTAGGAAACGTGCAATAATCTTGCATAGAGGGTTAACCAGGTTGATGCCACTTTACTTATTGGTTTATTGTTAGCTGCCCCTTCCCTTGCCCAGCGTCAGCCGGCACGTGCTCTTCTATCCAAACGGTTTCCACCAAGCAAAATAGTGTGAACGTAACAGATGGTCTGCCTTTCCTCAATAATTTCGACGGTGTGATTTCAGCACCAGCGCATTTCCAATCCGCAGTTTATATAGCGCTCTCTGGGTTTCAGGAAGACTAGGAATGGCCTCGAGTCCGGATAGTAAGCCGTAATACTGTAATTCGTGCAGCCAGTCAACTGAAAGTCCATTGGTCAGGAAGTTCCTCAGTGTTCGTATCAAATCTGCAAGACGTTTACAGATTGCATAAAGACGGTACCCGTCACATTGTCTTTATCGTCCGCATACACCGCAGGACAGTTATGAAATTATTTTTGTTGTTGCATTTTAGCTTTACTGTTACCATGCAATTTGGAGCTGACACAGTTTTCTAGCCAGCTGCTTAAGAAGATAGCGAAAATAAACTATTATTAGAGTAAACCTCTAGTTTGTTGGACACCAATTTTCCTTTTTGTATATATTCCACAATCATCGTATTTTCTTTGGTGAAACGTTGGGCCGCTGCCAGTTTTGGAGCCCGATCGTCTCCTCCGCAACGATGATTGTCTAATTTGTCAAGTATTCCATAGGACGATGACCGAAGCCAAGGATTCGTCTTCACCAATCGGGTTACCTTGGCAATTTTTAGCGCTAGTCGTCATTCTGCGCTGGATTTGACGCGGACGTTGATATTCTCTCGCTTAGCATTCGGCAGAAATTACGATGGTTTCTAAACCTTTGTGTAAAATTTGGTGAGCGCCACCTTGTTATCAGTATTCAATTCTGCTCTACGCCTGAGTCGCGTCGAATGTCTTCGCGCATCTCGTTGACATACGATAGAGTAGTCAGATAAATGAGCATCACTACTTGAGCTGGTCTATGTAGCATCAACACTGGCAAACAGCTAGAACAGAGTTTTCATGATCGTCATGCAGTGTGTTGCAAGAAATGCAAGCATACGCTTGCCGTTGTTTAGTGACTCCTCTAATCCTATGCAGTCCCATAACTTCAGCCCACATGTTGGTATCACATCCGTCACATGCACTGAGGTCACCTAACTTTAATGGTCGGTCACTCCTTGGTACAAACCGTATAACGGAGGCCATTTGTGAGTAGAAATGATCTCTACTGTCATCAGTATCACTCAATGTGAGCTTAGACGTAACAATATCTGTTATAACATTACTTCGTCCAAGGGGAACATGAAACGACATCAACAGTGGGCTGCTACCAGTAGGCTCCATCGTTCGGCAGCCATTGAGATACTCAGCGAATTCAACTCAGACGTCTTGTTAACGTGTTGCTGTGTTGAGATCACCTATCAATTAAGAAGTGTAGCCAGCACCATCCTCGCGCAATTTACATTGATAAGCCAGTAGGTCCTCACTCAGGGCCGCGATATCAGTGTATTAGCACGCGAGCCCTATGGGGACTAGTCAGTTCATCGAGAACATCGCTGATTGGCGTGTCGATATTGCGATGTGCCAAAAGCCCTGCATTCTTAGGCGATTGGCGCTCTGGCCTGTGGCGAGGTTTCACTATCTACGCAAATGACTTAAGTGTGGGTGGATTTGGCTCAGGAGATAATTTTGATGAACAGCTGGTTGGGGCGTGATGTGGGCAGGGACGTATAATCTTTTGATATTGGGGAACCCGGAATGAAACAACAAGCACTGTAATTTGCAGCTTTTCCAGTAGGGGGCAACATGTAATTTCTATCTGTTTCAGCTACAGTCCTCGTGCTCGAAAGACGGAAGCACATTTAAATGGGAATCGAGGTCAAATTAGAGATTACGTGTCGCAATCCAGTCAAACCACATGTACTTCAAAATGACTAGCAGTATCAATCATGAAACATCGTGGCATGTGTTGCCCGTCGTGACGTGGTGGCTTAGGGATAGCGGTTAAAAATAACATCCCAATGATCCTGGGCTCAATGCCTACTAATGACATGAAATAACCTAGAAAGCAACCATCTATTACTATTCATTGTAATGTAACATTCGCCTAAGCACCTACGTGTGTGTAAAGCTATGTTGGCCCCTAAACCTTGGTTGCCGGACGAACAAATTCGGCATTTCTCTATTTGAGTTTGTGAATGTAAGCTAACCTTATTGACTGGTTTCAAGAGTTAGAAATGATAGATAGTTAATGCATATTGTAAGAACATGCGCAAAACAACTGAGAAAGCATTAATGGTTGTGCCAGCACAAGGATACTGTTCTAGTTCGCAATACAAGCAGATCCACTGCCACAAAGGAGGGTTTATTGTCAACATTGGCAGTACAGGGTAAACCGAGTGGTGAAATTATAGAGCTACATGTTACGATTTGGCTGTAAGTTCTTGTAAATGGTGTAGATGTGAAGTGAGTTAAATTGATTCAGAAGGCATGTTAGCGGCGATAGATTGAGGCAGGATAGGAAGGAGAAGAGTAACATGGACGCAGTTACAACGTGATGTTGTAGAGAAGTTAAAGCACAGTATCACAGCGTGCACTTATAACCCTTGGGTATTGTATACCCAGTCTCCAGTATGTTAGATAAGAATTATAACTGACGGAGCTTGCAGAATGTGGAGATGCGACACAATGATAACTGTAGTCTCTCGGAGTTACATTTTATTCCTGAACCCGTCCGATTTCGTCGTCTCTAAAGTAATTTCGGACTCCCGAGGAATGTTGCTTATTATATATTGTATGTCTTGGGGTACGGCAATATCACCCACTCGCTGATATCTTCCTTAGGGTACTCACATCAGTAATACAGCAAATAAGTTCCTAGAGTAAAACATCAAGATTTTGAAAAGGTATCCAAAATATTAAACAAATTTCCTAAACTTACCGTCGATGTCATCGAAGTAGTATTACACAATTTTTCCCAGAAACACTCTGCTGTAACGGTAACCTTTTTTAACAAACTCATCTATTTTACGTCTACGGTGCAGGTGTCCGGCAATCGTTCACAATGCAAGCTATGTGTGGATTCATGTCTGATACATATGGCTGGCGTCATCCGGTTTCGAATTTGCCTGTCACTGTGATCAGTCACACGAC